GAGAGAGAGAGAGAGAGAGAGAGAGAGAGAAGGTGAGAAAGCAAACCACCAGGTCCAGGATTTGAACCGTGGTCAGCCATGTGGGAGCATCCAGCACCTTAACCACCACACCACCCACTGGTCCCATGGCAGCCATTACTTCTACAGTTAATAGCACTGTCACCAGCAGGGCCTCCCGAGCCCTCCTCCTCCCTCACCCCTCAGTCCTGGGGACTCTTCCTTACCAATGTCTATCTCTTGGAGGGTGTACCAGGGACTGAGCCCCCACCCCACTTTTAGCCTCTCCAGCTCCAGCTTTCCATCCTCCCTGACTCAGGCCTGTCCTCTCCACAGCCACCAGGGGGCGCTCTCTAATGAAGCACCAGAGCTTCCAGGGCAGCTCCTCCATCAACTTCTAGCACAGGCGGTCCCAGCCAACCCACTCCCCCTTCACCACCATGCCAGGTCCCCCACATCCACCCATTCACATGCACTCCTTGTTTGGCTCATTCTATACAAACATGTGTACTCATGTATGCACATATACAAACATACACACACAGCCTTCTAATTTTCTTTTTTCTTTTTTTTTTAGAGAGATTTTTGCTATAAGGGAGTGTGTGCTCACCAGAAAGACGGAAACAGAGACAGAAAGTGAGAAATCACTCCCCCCAGCCCCAGGGGGGAATGGCCATGCCACAATCCCTTCTCCCAGGATCTTGGGCATGTACATACACGTGCCCAGCTGAGTTTAAGCCACCAGGTCCGGAACTTGAACCGTGGTCGACTACATGGGAATCCAGCTGCTGGTCCCACCTTCTAGTTTTCTATCTATGAACCAGAAAGGGGGCCCTCATCAGACACTGACTGCCAGCATCTTGATCTTGGACTCCCCAGCCTCCAGAACTGTGAGGGACATCTCTGCTGCTCTAAACCAGACAGCCTGTGGTGTTCTGTTACATCAGCACGCATGGACTAAGACAGCACCTGGCTTCCTCCATCTTGCCAGCGGTTCCCTCCTTGCTGCCCTCAATTCCAACCTCAGCCTCCTGGAGGAGCAGACTCATGCCTGCACCTGTGTCACCCCTCAGTAGGGTCTTCTATCACACACACTCCCTTTCTCTCTCTTTCTCTGCCCAAAGGAGAAAGAAAACAGGAGGGCTGACCGAGGCCCATGGCACATGGAGGCT